AGGCGAACCGACTAAAAAAAAAAAAAGAAAGAGAGAAAGAGAGAGAGAGAGAGAGAGAGAGAGAGAGAGAGAGAGAGAGAGAGAGAATGCTGCCCTCTTCTCCCTGATGCAATATAAAAAGTCTCATTTCTCTCCATTTAATACGATGTTAATTCTGTCTTGTTTGTATGCATTCTTACTCAAACTGAGAATCTCCCATACTCATAATTTCCTGTGAATGCTCATGATGGATCAGTGTGGGGCACTGACAAATATCTCTTCATCTGCACACATGCCTTCATCACGTATGTTGTCATTTTCCCTTGATGCTGTAACGAATGATATTTGGTTTTTGAAGGTTAAACCGGATTCATGTAACTGTGTAAATTTTACTTGTTCACGCTGTTTATATCTTTTTAAAATCATTGGAATAAATTTGCATGAGTAACAATGAAATGTGTCTCATGAATACACATTTAGTCAAATTTTTCATTGTTTAAACATCATAGAATGTACTTAGACAAAGTCACATGGATACAATATCAAAGGTTATGTGATATTGTGGGACCATCATCACGTGTATGGCGTCTGATTTTTGGAATTTCATCATGAGTCACAAAATGAAGTTTGTGGAGGATTTACATCTGTGTTTACAGGAGCTATTGGACTGCACTTTATTCTTACACTGACCTTGACTGGGTTTGGTGTTAGCACGTTGCTGGTCTCACAGAATGGGTTAGGATATTTGCCCCATAATTGGACCTGAATATGCAGCTCTTTGGTGAGGTCCACTCTCACCTTCTCCCTCTAGGGTTTGACAAGACCTTCTCAAGGGCAGGAGAAGCCTGTCTGTGCCTTCCCCATTCACCCCTCCCTATTCCTAAGGAAAGGTGTCCCTAGTCCTGTCACTACTTCATCAGAGTCTACAGACTCTCAGGTTTTGACCTCTTGAGTGGATGGAACATCTTGATCCCTTGAATGGGTGAAATATCTCATGGTTGTCTGTCCTTCCATCTCCTGGAGCTCTGACAATCACCACAATGCAAGTTAGTGCCAAAGGACAGAGCAGTCAAGGCATGATAATGCTGTTCTTGCTAGGAGTCATAGACTAACAAAAACCCCCAGCGCCAATCATGGGAAACCTCCCTGTGGCCACCGGGGGGCAGCCACAGGACCTGAATGGATTACCATGGACCTGCTAATTAACCAGAGGACCCAGTACTTCCAAGCACATCAGTGTTTATAGTACCAGTAG